AGTCATCAGGGAGCGGCGGGAATTCCCCCCTCTCGGACTGGAACAAATACAAGCAGGTCCTCAAACACGACTCGACCATCATCCGCCAGATCTCCACAGCCCGCGCGCCCCGACGCGTCCTCCAGCAGTCGAGGCGGAGGTTACTGGGGATCGCCACTCTGTCGGAGATCTGACGGATGATGGGGCAGTCGCGGTTGGGCACAAAACAGTTGGGGGGGGCGGCACGGAGTGGGAATGGGGCGGGGTCGGGTGGGGTCGGGTGGGGAAGGGGGGTGCGAAAGAAGCAAAGGGAAAAAGGGGAAACGGAGTAGGCGTAGGAACAGGAGTAGGAGGAGGAGGAGGAGGAGGAGGAGGAGGAGGAAGAGGAGGAGGAGGAGGAGGAGCATGCCAATGGGGAGGGTTGTTTCTTCCAGAGTGAGCAGCCTGAGCCAACTCTTCGACCTCCCCCTCGAACCACCAGTTGCGGCCCGCCGCTGTGGAGCGCCACTCATCTGATGACAGGACGCCCGTCATGCTCTCTCAGGGCAGGAAAAGGTACTGAGATTGCTATCCTGGAGTTCCAGCGTCGCCACGGCAGGATTCGCCTCGAACTCCTCAGAGCGAACCCTGGGAGAGGTCCGGGGGGTAGTGGACTCGATACCTTTTCGTCCCCAGTTCTAAGGGCTCTTGGCTCCTGCTCCCTTGAGCCAGCAAAGCTATACAGAGCAGAACCTCTCCTTCCAATTCTGCCTATATCGTCCTGTCATGTCTACTTACCTCCTAACTCCTTCCTTCCCTATGTACCTCCTTCGTCCTTCATCCTTCATCCTACCTCCCTCCTCCCTCCTACCTGCTGTTCTACGCCTCTCCTCCCTCCTCCCTTCCCTCCTTCCTCCTACCTCCTCCTACCTCCTCCCTCCTACCCACCTCTTCCACATCCTCTTCCACTTACCTTCCACATCCGTCCTTCCCCACTCCCCTAGCATGCATCGCAGAGCGCGCCTGCGCCATGGCCCTCTTCGCGATCCCCGTCGCGTGGGCGCAGTTGGCGCGGCTCCCCTGGGCCAGCGCTGCGTCTCTCTCTCTCTCTCTCTCTCTTTCTCTCGCTTTTCTTCTAGAAGAGACCTGCGTCTCTCTCTCTCTCTCTCTTCCATGCTTCGGACCTAGATCCGACAGAGCTCTGTCGGATCTAGGGCCGAAGCATGGTCACAAGAACGTGGATCAAGAAGGCGAGCCCCTCCGCCGAAAACCCAGGGCCGCATGGAGGCCATCCCAAACGATGAGGGCCCTCAGGCGCGGGGCCAAACGCAGAAGAACATCAGGGTAGACTTCCGAGGCCGGTTCCTTGCCCTCGTTCGAATTGTATTCTGAGCCCAAACAGCGTGAAATCACATGAAGCCGATCGGCCTGGGCGAAGCAACGACGCCAGAGTGCATTCACTGTTTGAGGGTCGGTCGGTCGGGGGGTGGCGCTCATTGTAGGGGCGGGAGGATGAGGAGGATGACGGGGGGGGAGGATGAGGGGAGGGAGGATGAGGAGGATGAGGAGGATGAGGGGGGGGGAGGATGAGGAGGATGAGGAGGATGAGAAGGAGGAGGAGTTGAAGGTGGATGTAGACTGGGGGCAGCAACAGAAAGCGGAGGAGGAAGAGAAGCGGGATTCCGGCGCGGGCCTGCAAGTTGATGTTGATCTTGAGGGAGTTGGTGTGGGCGGAGGCAGGCGGCGGCGAAAGGTAGCAAGTGCAATTGTCCACGTCCTTCTTTTACTCCTCCTTCTCCTTGCCCCTTCTCCCATCTTTGCTCACCCTCCTCGTCCTCACCCTCGTCTATCCCTCTTTCCTTTCCCTCCCTCACCTCACCTACCCTCCCTCTCTCCCTCCCTTTCTCCCTCCTTTCCTCCCTACCCTCCTATTTCCTTTCTATCCTCCATCCTGCGGAGGTCTTGGGAATTTTTCAATTCTTTCGTATGAAATACAAGCGTGCGTAATCCCCCATCATCTGCGAAACCCTAGCCAATGTTGGCACCATGCAAGCTGAATCGCATAACATCTGGAGCCTGTTTGTAATATGCAGATACTCGACGTCGCGGCAAATCGAGCACTGAGCCCGGGCGGTTTCCACCGGCGCTCCTCCTGCCTCCTCCTCATCCTCCTCCTTCTCCTTCTCTTCCTCCTCCCTTTCCTCCCCCCTCTCGTGCTGCTGCTGCTCATGCTCCTCCTCCCCCTCCTGATGCTGCTGCTGCTGATGCTCCTCCTCCTCCTCCTCCTCATCCCCCTCGGTCCCCCATCCGAAGCTGAAGGGCCAAGGGAGGGGCGAGCGGGCTGACGGAAAAGCAGGGGATAAGAGCAATAAACGGGAGATGCCCCCCCTCAGCTGAGTCGGGAACGGGACCTTGCGAATCGGGACGTCGTCTACTTCGCACTCGATCTCTTGGTCGATGAAGGCCCACGTGTCACATTTCAACTGAGAAGGATACGAAGTCCCCAGAGCAGAACGAGGAGGAGGGAGGAGGAGGGGAAGGAGGAGGAGGAGGAGGAGGAGGGAGGAACTAGAGGAGGAGGAGGAAGGAGGGTCGTGGGCTTTGATGGCCAAGCACGGGCATCGGCCGGCACGCGTTCCCTCCAGGACTTTGGGGAAAGAGCTGAGGGGAAGGACGAGAGTACAGAAGGAGGCGAGGTGAAGGAGATGGAGGCGAAGGAGTTGGAGGTGAGGAGGGGGCAAGAAGGAGACAGGAGGACGCGAGGTGAAGGAGTTGGAGGTGGAGGAGCTGGAGACTAAGGAGGGGGGCAACATGGAGGCAGGAGAGCGCGAGCCTCGGCCGTTCGGGCGTCGAAGCCCTGAGGGCGCCTGGAGCGCCTCGGCGGGACTGGCCCCTGCAGCTGGCCACAAACAGTTTCGGTCGGTGGCCCTGGGGGGTGACAGACAGAGAGTAAGAGGTGGGGGGAGAGAGGCATGTTTTGATACACCACGTCATGGCCAAGGAGGAACATGAAGAGGCGGGGGAGCTAAAAGAAGGCGGAGCTGCGAGGGCGTTCCTGGGCGCTGTTGGGGCCGTCTTGGGGCTCTCTTGGGCCCCTCTTGGGGCTCTCTTGGGCCATCTTGGAGAAATGTTGACGCCTCAGATGGGCATCGGAAGCGAACATGCGAGAACGCCAGTGACGCAGTTTGGCCTCTTGGGGGCATCATGTGGGAGCCATCGCCACTTGGAGCCGTCTTGGGGTGGTCTTGCGGTTTATTGGAGCATGTTGAGGCATCTCGCATTATCTTGAGCCATCTTCGAGGCCATCATGGGCTCTCTGAGGCCCTCTTGGAGCCGTCTTGGGCCATCTTGGACGCTCCAACGCGTCGCGGTCCCCACCGTCCAGGTCCATGGGGAGGGGGTAAGGGGAGGGGCAAGCCCCTCCCCCAAGGGGAAGAAGAGGGTGGAAGAGGAACCGCCCTAGACCACCTACGCCTTAAAGGGTTGGTGGGATTATACTGTATGCGTTTCGTGCGTTTCTGGTCGAATCACAGCCTTCTGAGCCCCCTGGAAGCTTGCGAACGGCTCGGGGGTCCTCTCTCGCACCTCCTCCTCCTCCTCCTCCTCCTCCTCCTCCTCCTCCTTCTCCTCGTCCTCCTCCTTGTCCTCGTCTTCCTCCTCCTCCTCCTCCACTCCTCTTTCTTCCTCCTCCTCTCCCTCCTCCTCCGCCTTCCCTCCAACCTCCTCCTCCTCCTCCTCCTCCTCCTTCTCCTCCTCCTCCTCCCCCTCCCCCTCCTCCTCCAACCTCATCCTCCTCGGTCTTTCCCTTTCCCCCTCCCTCTCCTCCTTTCCCCCTCCTCCTCCTCCTCCTCCTCCTCCTCCTCCTCCTCTTCCACCCCGCGGTCATCTGCCCGGGCGCGCACGGCGGTGGGAGCACGAGACACCTGTCTTGCGCAGGGCGAGGGCAGAATGAAGCGAAGAAGCACGATGATGAGGTGCAGACAGAAACAGGACGTGAGGGTAGGAGGAAGAGCAGGAGGAGAAGGTGGAAGAGAAGAAATAGCTGAAGGGGGAGGAGGAGGAGGAGGAGGAGGAGGAGGAGGAGGAGGAGGAGGAGGATTTTTGTCGGCGCTCCAAAAATTTGCGGTACGGTGTACGGCCTCGTCCTGGCCCAGCGTGGCCTCGTCCTGGCCGAGCGTGGCCTCGTCATGGCGCGCGCGGGCTCCACGAAACATAGCCCCGACGGGGCAAACGTTAAACGCGATGCCCCACGTGGGAGGCCAGCAATCGCGCAGCCAGGCCCCAGAGCGGCCAACCAAACATGGCAAGCAAACGCAAACAAGTGTTCAAGCGCCCTACGGGGGAGGCCAGCGACCGCGCAGCCAGGCCCCCGAGCGGGCAACCACAAACATGGCAATACAACTCGAACAGGCGAAGCCTGCAAGGGTCGTGCGACCGCGCCACGATCGCACGGCCACGCTCCAAACATAGGTCTGCAAGGATCGCACGGCCGCGCCCATGCAAACAACAAATCGCTAACAACCCACCGCGCCCCGCGAAGAAGCATTAGGCATCTGCGACACATGTATACATACGCACATATATATATATATATGTTTATATACAAGATGCATCGATCCCTACACACATATGTGTATACATATGCATAAATGTGTGTATATATCTATATACATACATGCATACATCGATACATACATGTGTACATCATATTACTACATGTGCCTGACCTACTAGACCACTTTTCTGGACTTCATAGTTGTCTAGATCCTTGAGAAACCGGAAACCAGAAAATCTGGACTGATGGCCCTCAGGGTATGGCGCGTGTGCACTTGGCACGCATGAACCCTAACAAGCGGGTCGGGTCGGGTCGGGCGGACCCTAACGGGCGGGTCGGGTCGGGCGGGCGGGGCATTAAAGTATGGTGCGCGTACACATTGCACGCATGAACCCTAACGGGCGGGTCGGGTCGGGTCGGGCGGGCGGACCCTGACGGGCGGGGCGGGCCGGGTCGGGCGGACCCTCGCGGGCGGGTCGGGGTCGGTCGGGCGGGCAAAACAAATTAAAAGTATGGTGCGTGTGCACTTGGCACGCGTGAACCCTAACGGGCGGGTCGGGTCGGGTCGGTCGGGCCGACCCTAACGGGCGGGCCGGGTCGGGCGGACCCTAATGGGCGGGCCGTGTCGGGCGGGCGGGGCATTAAAGTACGGCGCGCGTGCACTTGACACGCGTGACCCCTAACAGGGGGTCCGGTCGGGTCGGGCGGGCGGACCCTGACGGGCGGTCGGGACCGGGTCGGTCGGGCGGCCCTAGACGGGCGGGTCGGGTCGGAGGCGGGGGCCATCAAGCAGGGTGCGTGTTGCAGCGGACCCCTAAGGGCGGGTCGGGTCGGGTCGGGGTCGGCGGGCCCAGCGGCGGGTCGGGTCGGGTCGGGCGGGCCCTAACGGGCGGGTCGATTCGGGCGGGCGGGCATTAAAGTATGGTGCATGTGCACTTGGCACGCGTGAACCCTCACGGGCGGGTCGGGTCGGGTCGGGTCGGGTCGGGCCGGGCGGGCCCTAACGGGCGGGTCGGGTCAGGTCGGGCGGGCCCTCGCGGGCGGGTCGGGTCGGGCGGGCGGGACGCTATAATATGGCGCGTGTACACTTGACACGCGCGAACCCTAACGGGCGGGTCGGGTCGGGTCGGGCGGGCGGACCCTAACGGGCGGGTCGGGTCGGGCGGGCCCTAACGGGCGGGTCGGACCGGGCGGGCGGGACAATAAAGTATGGTGCGTGCACACTTGACACGCGTGCACCCTAACGGGCGGGTCGGGTCTGGTCGGGCGGGCGGACCCTATAAGGCGGGTCGGGCCGGGTCGGGCGGACCCTAACGGGCGGGTCGGGTCGGGCGTGCGGGACATCAAAGTATGGCGCGTTTGCACTTGACACGCGCGAACCCTAACGGGCGGGTCGGCCTCGGGTAGGCCGAGTGGGCAGGCCTAGGGGGTAAGCCGAGGGTGGGCCTATGGGGAAGGCCTAGGGGGTAAGCCTGGGGTGGTCCTAAGGGGTAGGCCTAGGGGTAGGCCTAGGGTGGGCCCTGGGGGTCGGCCTAGGGGTTAAGCCTAGGCCTAGGGGGGGGGGTAGGCCTAGGGGGTAAGCCCAGGATAGGCCTGGGGTAGGCCTAGGGGGTAGGCCTAGGGGGTATGCCTAGCGGGTAGGCCTAGGGTAAGGCTATGGGGTAGGCCTAGGGGTAGGCCGAGGGTAGGCCTACCCCCCGGGTTCTATATGGGCATTCGCTCCCCAGCGTGTCAGCATCTGTTCTGTTCTCTCGCATCTGGCGGCGGCGCGGCGCGCGCTCTGCCGCGGCGCGCAATGGAAGGCCAAAGGACACCATCCCCCCCAAAGGGGGGGGGGGGGGCGCCATCCTGCAGGAGCCCTTGCGCCGACGCGTCGGCTTGCCAAACCCTGCGTTTTCATGCGGATGCGTGGTATTTGCGGAGTGGATGTCAAGGAAACCCTGCGCCCTCACTTGGGTGTTTGGGATGTTGGGGAGTTGGGGGCCTTGCGAAACTGCCGCAGCCGCCCCCGCACCCCGGGTCGGCGCCCTCAGAATCACGGAAACTCCAAGTGAAAACGCCAGATGTGCGAGGTCAGCGGTGAGGAACCCCTGTGTTTCCATTTGCATGGTTACGATGAGTGGGATGGAAATCAAGCGCGCCCCGGTGCTCGTTGAAAATTTAAAACGTCTTGGAGTTGAGGGCCGTGCGAAAATGCCACCGCCGCCCCCCCCCCAGGTCGGCGCTCTCAGGATCGCAAAAACCCAAATGAAGACACAAGGTTTGCGAGGTCAGCGGTGAGGAAGCCATGCGTTTTCATTTGGACCGCGTGGATTTTTGGGATGGAATTGAAGCAACCTTGGTTTTCATTTGGATGTTTGGGATTTGGGAGATTTGGGGGCCCTTCGAAATGACCGCCGCCGGTCCTCCCCCAGGTCGGCGCGTTCAGAATCAGAAAAATTCAAATGAAAACGAAGGGTCTGCGAGGTCTGGGGCGAGAAAACAACGCGTTTCCAATTGGATACCTTGGATTTTGAAAGCGCCGACCTGGGCGAGGAGCGGCGGCGGCATTTTCGCTGGGCCCCCAAATCCAAAACATCGCAAACATAAGAAAAACGCAAGGCCCCCTTGATTCCCATCCCAGAAAACACAAACATCCACATACAAAAAAACGCATGGTTTCCTCACCGCTGGCCTCCCCAGCAGTGTGTTTTCACTGAAATGTCAAAGGAATTCTGAGAGCACCGACCTGGGGGAGGAGCGGCGGCTGCATTTTCGCAAAGCCCCAAAATACCAAACATCAAAAACATCAAACTGAAAACGCAAGGTGTGCCCGAATTCCATCCCAAATGTCCCAAACATCCCAATGACAACACGTGGTTTCCTCACCCCCTAACCTGGCAAACTCTGTGTTTCCCATGGTTGCGCGTGGCGTTTGGCCGCCGGTGCTCGCAGAGTCGGCACTGGTGTTCAAAGTGTCGCCAGTAAAGCGCCAGCGCTGGCAACGGAGGGACACCAGCTCAACTGCTGCACTTCTTCATCCAAGAAGCGTTCGACATGTTGCCTGTCTCATGCCAGATCCATCCCGCGATTCGAATGCATCCATTGGAAGCTGCGGATCTCCTTCTTGACGAGGGCAGAGCCGACGGGTTTGCTCTCCCCGACGAAGCGGCGGACCTCGCGCCAAGTCCCATCGATGATCTGCGTGCCTGTTCTGACCCAGATCCTCTTCCTTGCGCCCGCCTTGGAAGAGTCTGGGACATCGCGGTGGCGCTTCTGGCTGTGGGGCGGCTTCAGCCAGACCCGCTCCCCCTTCGCATGGGCGCGCTTCTTCTGGTGGGCCACCCAATCGCGGACGACGCCCTCCTCCTTCAGCTTGTAAGACCTCGCGCCGTCGGTGCGGAAGAAAAAACCTCCCGCCCCTTCAGCCATCTCTGCGAGAGGGGCGCCCAATCCGTCTTGCGGATGGGCCGGGGCCAAGGGCGCGGCGCTTCGTCTTTTCTGGCTACAAGCGGAACAGCGCGAGGGATTCGGGCGACCCGCGCCGCACAATGTCGCCCCACTGCCCTCGCGCAGTCGGCCACGCAGCGCGGGGCCCGGCGTCGGGATCTTTCCATCTTACCAAGGTCCACCTCGTCGGCTTCCACGTCTGCCCACTCCGCGCCCTTCCCGGACTTGATCTTCGGCTCGGCCAGGCGCGCGTGCGCGGCGCGCGCAGCGTGGAGCGAGTTGCAGATGCCCCCCACTGCCCCCCACTGCCTTGCAGATGCCCCCCACTGCCTTGAAGACGCGCGGTCGCTTGGGAACAGCCTGCAGCCGCGCAGAACGGGACAGCACCCTGATGCGCAATGGGGGCGAATGACTGGCCCGCGCTGGCGTTGAATATCCGGTGAAACGATTGTGACGACGCGTGGCGTGCGCACGTTGCAGCTGCAACGATGCCCCCGCCCGCCCGTCTTGTCCCCGCGGCCCTTCAAAAGCCCCAAGACACCGTCGCCTCAGCGCGGGCACGCAACGCCGCCCCACTTCGGCAAGATCTCCCCCTTACGCAGCTTGTCCACCAGAAACTTTTCGGAGCGGTTCACGAAGTCTTTAACGCAGGTCTCCCGCGCAGCCCTGTCCCCTCGGCCCCTTGCAACAGCCGCGGCGCCGCGGCGAATGCGCGGCGCGTGCTTGGCCGGCGCAGCCGAAGCCGCCCTCTTCATCTTCGCGGCGTGCTTCTTGGCGGCGGCGCGCCTCGCTGGCGCGCGCTTGGCCTTCGCCGGGGCGCGCGCTGCCGTCCGGCGGGGGCGCGGCGCCGCCGCGGCGGCGCGGGCCCCCCCCCTCTCGGGGGGCGGGGGGGGGGCAAGGCATTGCGCGCGGGGCGAAAGCAAATGAGCCCAGGTGCGCGCCGTTCCCAGCCAGCCAAACGCTCCAGCATAAGCGACGCGACCGCGGCCGCTGCGGGCGAGAGCGAATGCCGCAGAGACGACGCGCGCCGTTTCACCTTGGGCGATAAAAGCACGGGGAACAGACTCCTCTCATCGCACCAAGGCGGTCTGCCGGAAACTGCCGCGCATTCGATCATGAACGCGCGTGTGGAAACAGCGCGGCCGACGGCCGCCTCAGCTGGGGCGAAATGGCGCGCGCGAGCCCGCGGCCGCCAGCGCGCGCCCGCGCCCGAAGACATCCTGTTCACGCTGCCCGCCGCGCGCGCCCCGGGCGCCCGAGCCGCGGCCAGCCCGCCGCTCGACGCGCCACGCGTCGCCTGCACCGCCTGCTCCAAGGACATCGCCTTCCTGCTGTTCTTGGCGGGGGTCCGCGACGGGGGCAGAAATCAGCGCGGCCACTGCAGCCTGCCGGGCGCTCGAGGTCCTCCCGCGAGCCGCGCTCGACCTCGACGCGCTCGGGAGACGGCGGGCGCGGCGCGGCGGGCGTCGCATCTCCGTGGCCGCCGCCGCCCATGCTGAAACCGACGCCCAGCGCGCCCCCTTCCTCTGCCTCGTCGCGCATATCGGGAAGGCGCTGCACCTCCGCGTCGGCCTCGCTATCGCCCATGCCGCAACCGAGGCCCATGTATTCTGCCTCTCCGTCATCGGGGTAAGCGGCGGCGCCTGCGCCGATGTCAGAGCGACAGCTGCCGCGTCGACGCGGCCGACGTGGGCGTGAGCGGCGGCGGCTCGGCGCGCCTTCGCGCGCTTGGCATGGGCTGGGCCACCTCTTCCCGCACGCAAGCAAACGCCCGAACTCCTCTGGGTCGCGGCGAACGCTGGAGTCGTGCAAGTAGGCCACAGCACCTTGCCTGACTCTGGCTTCAAGCACCCCGCGTGCAAGGGGAGCGATTCGACAGCCTTGCTCTGCCCGGCTGGGGGAAAGCAGACAGCGCTCTTCGCGCTGAGCAGAGTGCTGCGCCGCTTCAGCATGGCCCCGACGCTGCTGCTGGAGGTTATTTGGGGAAGCTGGCAGAAGCATGTCAATCAACAACACCGTCGCGCCCTTCGCGGCGTCGGCGCCAATGTTTGCAAACGCCCGCCGCTCGCGAGTCGGCGCGGCCGCCGCGTTGCACTCGTTGTCTCCGCCAAACCTTGTCTGGCCCCTGACGCACTCTGCGGCGCCCCGCCCCGCGCGCTGCATTTGCATCGGATCGAAGAACGCACGCGGTGGAGGCAGGGCAACGTCGCCCGAACAATACAAGCTTCTCGCGCAGCGTGGGCCGCGCGCGAGACGCCCCGGGAGACGGGCGAGCCTGCCTTCGACGTTTGCGTTCTGCCGCCGCGCCACGAGCACGCGGGGCCGTCGGTCGGAGAGGCCCCGGTCGTCGAATACGCTGGGGGCCCACTTCTCCCCACACTCGCCGCGGAGGAAGAAATCTCGGACGACGCCAACTTCTCCACGTCGGCATGCCAGCGAGCGACAGCCATTGCAAGAATTTACATGAGCGGCGTTTTGCCAAACCTGGCCTCGCCGATGGTCAGAAGCGCATTCGTCGGCAGCGTGCTCAGCGTGCGCTCGGCGCCCCCAGATTTTCTGGTCGAATGTCATGAAGTAGGCGCGGGTAGTGCGTCTCCATGACCGAAAAGTGGCCCCTGCCCCTTTATCTTCCGCAGCAGGCGGTTAATCAGTTCGCGCGTGAAGTTGTAGATGGGGCTGTCTGGGTCCACGAGCTGGCGCTCGACCCAGAGCATCTGCTCGCAGTCGAAGTCGCCGCGTGGTGCATCCGTCACGGCGGAGGCGAATCCCGCGGTCAACTACCTCTGCATCTCGTCGACGCCCCCGCCGCCCCCTGGCAAGCCGGCCGCGGGCGCAGCGACGGGCAACTCATACGTCGAATACATGGAAAGTGCGCCGCTCATGTCGTGGAAGAGCAGGTACATGGTCTTCAGGGTCGCCCAGCGGTCGCGCGTCCACTGGGGGATATGCGATACGCGTCGCCAAAGATCAACTCCTGATTGATGGCGGCAAACTTCTTGATGCCGAGGAACTTGATGAGCTTCGCGGCTATAGAGCCGTCGGCCAAATTGGACACGTGCGAATTGAGGAACGTGGGGATGTCGTTCTTCACGGGGAACCCCAGCGGTGGCGGCAGGCTGTTGTTATCGCCTGAGTGCATGATCTCATGGATTGCCTTCCAGTCGACGTTGGAGAGGTCGCCTGGACACGCAGCGACGTCGAGGACGTAGCTGGTGCCCTTCTGCGCGCGGCCCCCCAATTGCTTGATGGGCAAGTCTCACGCGGCGGCGCTGCCTGGGCTGCCGATAGCACCGACCATCGTGGCTTCAGTGAGCGCCGCGGGAGGTTTCTTCCCATTCGCCTCTGCGAACCAGCGGCGCAGGACGTCTTCGGAGTGGCTCGGGCGCTCCATGGCGCGGCCGAGGGCGATCATGCCCGCGGCCGCCACGTAAGCCATGTCAGCAGTCAGGCTGAGCGGCTGAGATGCTACAGGGCCAGTGAGTTTGAGCCAGCATCGCTCGCAGCAACGGCGGCGGCGGCGACGGCGCCAGGCTAACTAAACCCAGTCAAGGGGGATCTTGTTCAAGATCCCCCTACATGCCAGGGTTACCAAAATTTTGGGCCCACCCCGGCGCCTCCTGCGAACGAAAACCCAAGGCCATCGCCATGGGAGACACCCCGTGCTGGGGCGAGCCGGAGGAGCCGAACGCCCTCTCGCGTGTTCCGGGGTCTTCGCAGTCCTGGGAGGCAGCGGCGGCGCTATTCAAGATCCCACTACACGTCGGCATCGGGGGATCTTGTTTGAGATCCCCCCATGTGTCGAAGCGACCGAAGGCGGGGCCCATCCCCGCGCCCCCTGCGGAAGATAACCAACGGCCGCCGCCGCGCATTCACCCTGTGCTCTGGCGTGCAAGAAAAACGCACGCCTTCTAGTGAGTTGTCGGACCTGTCAAAGGCCAGGCGGCTCAACGCGCCAGCATGCATGTAACCCGTGAGCCACTAGTTAGCTGCCCCGCGCAGGGGTGCGCGGGATCTTCCTGTGGACCCCACGCAACCACCCCGAAGCGATCAATTACTCCTCGCGGTCCACCTCAGTGGATCCATGGTGAGCCAAGCCCACCACTGCTTGTCTTTGGGCGTGGCCCAGTGGTTAAACCGCCCCTGCTTCGTTCGGAAGGCCTTCATGGCAGCCCGGGCCTGCTATAGCTCGGCCTTGGGCTCCTCGGCGCGCTGCGCGTGCTTCTTGCTTTCCGCCCTGCGCTGTTGGATATATTTCTGCAGTTGCTTGACCTTCTCTGCCTGGATCCGCGCGTTCTTGGACTCGTCCGAGAGCTGCCCCCTGAGCTTACAATTGTTGCTCGTGCCTGTCGTGCTGTTTGTGTGTAGAAATTAAGCGTCGGCCAGGGCGTCACACAAGCGCCTACGCGATGCATGAATGCATTGCTTGACGAACGCGCAGAGCTTCTCCTTCACCCAAGGCCTGCCCAGGAACTTTTTCAAGGCCTTCACGCGCGCTCGGCTCATGTGATTGATGCGTTTGGTCCCGAGCGCCGTTTTCGACGAAGACGGCGTGACTGTCAGTGGTGCCATTCTACTGGCGAAGCTTTTGACGACAAAACGCAATTCAAAAAATTAAACGTTTAATCGCAAAATGCTCGGTATAGCGTTGGACCAATCGCGGCTGACTGAACGCGAAAACGCGAGCGCCCGCGCGATGCTCCTCGCTGCAGACTGAAGCCCCGATGGGCACCACGATCACAGCGTTTGGCGCGAAAGGGCGCGGACCGAATTGCCTGCCAATCGCGACGTTGCGATGAGGAACCGCTGCGCCAAAGACAGCGGCAGCGGTGCTACATCGAACAAACACCTTGGAGCAAGTATCATTGCGACAGCGACATCAAAGGCGCCATTACGTTCAATGACACATTGGAGGTCGCGCAACCACGCGCGAACCCCACGCGGCACTACAGCGCGCAACCGCATGATGAACGCAAACTGCACAAGCCAACGCGATGCGCGTGCCTGCGCGCGCTAACCCACAACCAGTGGCTCGCACGTGCGCGCGCGCACGTTCGAGGGCGATGGCATCGCCAGAAGTCGCGGCGCGATGGCAACTGGCTGTGCAAATTTGCAGGTCGCCAGGCGCACTTCTGAAAGTTCTTGGGGTCGCAAAACCATAATGAAAACCGCGCCGCGCATCCAAAGCGACGCGATCACGCGAGTAGGGCCGCCCGCGCACGGCAAGGCGCGAACGCAAGCCCAAGCTGGAAAAAAAACAGCGAGGTATGGAATCGGATTGCAACGGGCGCTGGTTTTCAGGGCGCGCTAAAAACGCATCGCGCGTCGAAGCGCGACCGCCAACAGTCAGCTATGAGGCTGGGCACCCTCGCTGGGAACGGTCAGAACTCAAGAGCAGCGGCCAGGAATTGATGGGCGCCTCGAACGGCGGCGACAACAAAAAAACACATCCTCTCGTCGCCGCGCGGCGCAAGAAGCGGCGCAGTCGACCGCGCACGTCCGCGCCGCGCAGATTAGCGCAAGACGCGACGCACAACGAAGGGATTGAAAGCCCGCTCGCGCGCGCACGCGCGCACGCCGCAAAGGCGGGAGCGCGCCTCCGCGGGCCTGCGCGCGTTCCGAAGGGCCGACAGCGCGCGCCAGCGCAGCCTGCGCACTGGGCGTCGACCCACCGCGGAGACGACGTCGACGCAGAGGGTTCTGTGGAGCCAGAATACTTGAGCCAGAATGGTCGGATCCAAAATTGCAACAGAGGGGGGGGGGCGCCGGGGGCGGCGGGGGGGGGCAGGAGCGGAGGGTTTGGCGGGGCGGGGGCCGGAGGCGCAGCGGGGGGACGCAGAGTAGAGCGCGGCGAGGGGGGGAAGGGGGTCGGAGGGGAAGGAAAGGAAGGCCGCCACCATGCTTTCGCACGCAGAGGCGCGTGAAAACGCTTCGCGCTTCCATTTGGGATTATTTCCAACGTTCTCTAAGGCGTATGACGTACTTGCAGTTCGACAGGATATGCAATCGCACCCCGTTTGGCGCGCGCAATGCGTCTGGTTAGTGTCATCGAGGCCACGGCCGTGCATAAGTGACACAACAGCCGCCCCGTCTCAACAACCATCTGTTTGATCGTTTCAACCCCCGCGCGTCTCCAATCCAATGTTGGCCCTACGCTGCCCGACAAGTTCCAAAGCGGGCCCCGAGACGGCCGCGCGTGGCCCCGAGGCGGCGCAGGAAGACATCGCGACGGCCCCTTGGGGATCCCAGAAGGCGCGCCGCGACCAGCTAATCCTTTGATTCCGCACCGACAAGACCCACGAAGGACGCACGAGGCGGCGCAAACGCGCGCAAGGATATCCGAGGGCCCCCACCACAGCACCGAAAGACAAATACTATTGATCTATCCTTGATTATATTCAAGATGTGGAGGTCCGCACCTTTCGGGCTCCCTGGCGCCCCAGGGCGGCCTTCGAGGTCCCCAAAGACCACTCCGAGACGGCCAACGACCCCTCAGAAGACCGCCCGATTGTCGGAGAGGGCCCCGAGACGGCCCATAAATCATCATAGATTATCAAACGACGCCCACAGGCGGTCTCGAAAGGAGTCCGCGAATAGGAAAAGCACTCAACCCGCGGCCGCCCAGGCGGCCCAAGAGCTCCGCAAGGGCGGCCCCCGCGCTGGTCCACAGAAGCCGACGCCATGCATGTTTCATCGTTTGTGTCCACGTTTGAAAAATCTGTCGCGTTTGTTTTCCGCATTTTCGGATGGGCCGCGAGATTGCTCCGAGCGCCCCAAAAAACTTCCAACGAGGTCCTCAACGGGGCCCATATGACGGCCCCGAACGGCCTCAAAATGACGGAAAACGAACGCAGGGCCACGCGAGGACGCGCCACGATGCCCCCCTTTATCAAGCACAACACCTGGGACAATGCGGGGCCAGTGTGCAAATTAGCATGTGCACCAATGCACCCAATGACATTTCATCAAACCTCAACTGTCCGAAACCATGCGTCTACCACATGTCAGCAACAAAAAAAACTGATGTGAAAACGCAACTGTCCAAAACGAGTTTCCTGGACAATTGAATCGCGGTTCTGATGTCTCGAATGTCATGCCGCAGGTTGCCTTCATCATCCGCCACAACACTGCGGAACCTCAACTGTTCCTAACAATTGTTTCCCTGGGCTCCTTACCACCAGGCTAACCCAACAACGCGGATAAGAAACGCCCAGCCACCAAACCAAAAAAAAAAAAAAAAACAATGTAGCCTGGCGAAAAACCCAACCATATACAACTGGGGGCTCCATGTGGGGCCGCGGACCGTGTGAGGGGTGCGTCCATGTGACGTGGCGCCGCCATGTGGACGATGCTACTGGGGCCTTCGGTGGACCCCCCTGTGGGTCCACGAACCGCGCGCTGGGTTTGTAGCCGCGCGATTTGTGAAGACCGCATGCGGGGCGGCGCACGATTTGTGAAGACCGTCTGCGGTGTTCTTGGCCAGAGGATTTGTTAACACCGTCTGCGGGGTTTTTGGCGGCACGATTTGTTAACACCCTGGGCGCGAAACGATGTGCGAACACCTGGGCGCCGCACGATGTGGTAACAACCTGGGCGCCGCGCAGTCCCACCAGCCCTCTGGGCGTAGGTGGTTTGGGGAGTTTCCTCTTCCAACCCCCTTTCTTCCCCTTGGGGGAGGGGTTTACCCCTCCCCCTACCCCCTCCACTGGACCTGGACGGGAGGTTTCGCTGGTAGTTGGAGCGTCCAAGATGGCCCAAGATGGCTCCAAGAGCGCCTCGGGGAGCCCAATATGAGCTCCAAGATTGCTCAAGAAGCTAGCCTCAGATGCCTCAAGACGGCTCCGAAGATGCTCCAGTAGGCCCGAAAACCGCCCCAGGACGGCTCCGAGAGGCCAGCTAGGTCCCCCAGGAGGCCTCCAAGAGGCCCAAATCCTTCAAAAACCGAAGGAACATCAATGCGTGTTGCTTTCTCACCCTTTCGCTTCCGATGGCCTTCCGAGGCCTCAAGATGGCTCCAAGAGGGCCCAAGATAGCCCCAAGAGGGGCCCAAGATGGCCTCAAGACGGCCCCAAGAGCGCCCAAGAGCGCTCCAAGAGCGCCTCGAGATGAGCCCAAGAGGCGATTTTAGAGGATCTAGAGGGGCAGGCCTAATTAACCCCACTCTCTTCTTTGATCGATCGCCTCCAAGATGGCCCTAAGAAGCGCCAAGGAGGCCCCAAAAGGCGCCAAGATGGCCCCAAGATGGCCCCAAGATGGCCCCAACATGGCCCCAAGAGGTCCCCGAGAGGCTCCCCAGGGCACCCAAGACGCCCCAAGAGGCCTCCGGGACCGCCGAGACGCTCCCAAGACGCCCTAAGAGGCCTTCAGGACGCCCCCAAGAGACCCCCGAAGAGACTCCGAGAGGCATCCAAGAGGCCTCTGGCCATTCTGCTCGCCCTTTTCCTCGTCCTCC